GCGCAATGTTTGATCGCATCTGAACTTCAAGCAATGTTTGATCTTCATGCCGCCAACCTTGTGCTCAGCTGCAACAATTGAAAATCAAGCTTTAGATAGATCAACTATTGCAAGTGATTCAAGTAAAGTTTCTGAAGAATGTGGTATGCAGAGTTGTGCAGGATTTAGACATTTTGTCTGTAGTATTGCAATCTCTGCTGATAGAATTGTCTTTCACAAACTAGATTTGCAGCTTGTTGATGAGTTGGATAGTTGCCATTGATTACATTGATTGCTCATATGTTTGCTAATTAAATATTGCATTGTCCATTGCAGGTCTCTGTGATGGTCAAGGAAGGCAACTTGATCGAGGGTGAGATTTCACGAGCCTTACCAGCTTGTCAAAAGTTGATGGTAGTGTAACTTAAGGGCGATCTCAACTGATGCTTTGACCAACTGGCGTGAGTGCCAGCCTTTTTTAACGCGCCTTTGCTGCTGGCGCACAAATTACGCTAGTAAGGCATATGAGAGGTTTCAACGTAATTTATGCGCCAAGTCTTATCCATGGTGCATTATCTCTGCAGGAATGCTAATATGAAGCAACTGTAACGTATTTTGCGCGCCATCATATGTCTAGGAGGTTTCTACTTTGTTCAAAGCTGATCCACGTTGCTAAATCATCCGCAGGCTTGAAGGACGAGTTGGAGAAGGACCGCATAGCACTGCAATCATTTTGACGCCAATTGAGGTACAGCTAGTCTCACAACTGAGTCACTCTGACTAGCTTAGTAGCCAACTAGTACAGTAAACATTCGACAGTGGTTCTGAATTGGATTTACGGACTTAGCACTCAGTGGACTTCTAAGCAACACAATGAACCGCCGATGTAGCATTTCCGCTATTAAGACACTCAGGACATCATGAAGTGACAAGATTCATCCCATCTATCGAAGGAAAACTGAGTGAAGAAAAGCAAAGTTGGAGCCCCCCTGAGCAAAGCGAAGTCGGTGCGGAAACTTTGCTTTTCTTCACTCAGTTTTCCGGAGCAGCGCCGCAGGCAGTTTTTGCAGATTTTGGGTATTGAGAAAGGCTTCTCGTGCACTCTGAGAGCATCATAGCGTTCCAGGTGTCTTAATGGTGGATCCCTTACAGCTGGTCGTTTTAAAATATGCAATATTGTCGGTCGCGCGAAGTTTACGACACACCATCATTCAAGCCTTTCTGCGTAAACTTTGCGCCACTCATCAGAACGTCGCCTATGCCGGCCAATCTCTGTGCATGCCGTGTTAATGCCGCACAAATGAGAAATGTCATGACTCGTTGGCCGTATGACATGCCGTGCCAATGCCGTCCACATGACAAACGAACCGTACACGTGCCGTCGCAGCTGCCTGACAGCCAGACTGCATGTGCCGTACGACTGCGTGCACCGGGTCCCAGAGTGCCGGACATCCGCCGGGTCGGTGTGCCGCGCCTGCAGTGACACGGCACAGGGACGGCTCCCTGACGGCACGAACATATCCGGACGGCAGGCTGCGGCACCTCGATGACTGCCGGAGCGGCACACCCTGACTGCATGCGCCGTAACTGCCGCCGGCAGTTTGCGGCACATGGACGGCCCGGGCCAAAATTTGCAATGAGGTGGAAGAGGCAAGTGCAGTACAAGAATAGCAGATTTGTCAAAGGTCAAATCACGTCATGATGAGGAGAAAACAAAGCATGCCAGATTACAAACGAAAGATCAGGAAGCAAAGCATAAAAAGGGTGAACTGGAGGTGGGGCCACGGTCGCTACCTGATAAGTCTGGCAGCCCAGCAGTGTTTTCAGCCTAGCCTGGAACAAGAACACTTGCAACCGGAAGTGGAGAAATGGTACGGAAAGTATTGCGGGGCTTTAATGACAGGCTGTGGAGCGCATTTGCAAGGACAAAACCAAATCCCCAACATATGCGACCTATGAACGTTGGGTGACTGCCCCAGAGAGTCCTAGTCTGTGGGTCTGCAGGTCTGTCTGTACTCTTGGGTGCCTGCCTGTATGCATGTATGCACCCTTCTAGGACCTTCCGTGTACTTCGAAACCCATTAGGAGAGGCCACGTGGACGTTCCAGCAACTTCGAGTCACCTGCTGACATTGACAGACTGTCATGCAGCTTCTATGACCTTCTGTATGTTTCTCAACTCATTTGGGAACGCCACGTGGTCCAAACCAGAGTCCAAGTTGGAGTAAGAGTCTCGAACAGAGCCCCAGGCACTGTGAGGCGGCTTCTGCCTGCCACTCTGGTGCCCGGTGAGGACTCGGAGTCCGAGTCGGAGTTCGAAACGGATTCGGAGTCGGAGTCGGAGCCGGAGTTGGAGTCGGAGCCGGAGTCGGATTTAGGCCCTCGTTACATTGGCGGCAGACGGCAGAACCTAAAAGAAATTGGTTTCTTGCCCGGAACTTGCCTGGAAGTGCCGAAAAAGGCCAAAACATTACAGTTGTGCCTGCCGTCCGTGTAACGAGACTGCGGCATAACAGACGGCCAAAGTCTGTATTTGTTGCGGTTAAGGGTACAATCTGCTGTCGTTTAGATAACCAGAGGAGGTCAATGTCAGTTCGTGCGAAATATTAAATGAGCCTGCGTCGCGATGACGGTCTGGCGCACTGTGAATGGTTGTTCGTTATTATAAAGAGCCAAAAACGACGGTGAACCGGCCGTATATCGACGATTGAATGCTCCTGGACCGAACACATGGCATAAAGGGTTCGGTTAAGCCGAGTCAGGCTGTACTTGTTGCCCCTCCTCTGCTGCACCCAGTCCTTACCCGTGGTCTTGAGCTGTATACCAAGCGCGGGTATACCCGGCTTGCAACACCTGCACTTTCCCATGGCACTGCATCGAGAGCAAGCGATGCCCGCTGCCATTTGCCAGCAGATCAGTGTCACCTGTAAGGCTCACGTTTGTGACAGAGGGCGTACCTTGCTCCGTAGGTATCAGTCCATTTATCTCCATGAAGAAGCTTGCTTCCACATCACGCTGCATGTCCAGCCCCGTCAGTGTCTCAAAACCCAATCTTGCCGTTTGAGAGCATGCATGCTTGTCTGGAGAAACGCCACGGCGACTGAGATGAAACAATATCGGTCATTGTGGCGCACTTTACGCAATTGCTTCTAAACAACAATCCCCTATAATAAAGGCGGGACCATTCATAATCTTAGGTCTACCATCCTGAATGTTGTAGTACATGTAGCGCACTTGCAAACCACCTCCTTTGCCTCTGCTTGCCTCACGTATCGCTTCGACCAGGCGCTCCTCCCTGATTTGCCTCGTCACTCGCTTCTTGATTCCGTCAATATGGAATGTGTGGGGATTGTACCTCAGGATGTGGACGGGCAATTCGTTTTCCTCAAGCATCAGTGCTTTTTGGATTTGGAGCATTCGTGCAACCTCACAGGAAATCCCATAGCTCTCATGCTGATATTCGTCCACTTTCACTATGATGACCTTGCCCCCCATGAGGACAATGAAGTCCGTCCGTGCGAACGTCCCCTGAAGGCACCCGAAATCCACTTGGTGCTCCCGTTTGAAATCGATCTGGGCCTTCGTGAGGGCCTTTGCGACTCGCTCCTCCTCTTGCTTCCGGCGCTGCTGCCGGTCGGCGGTGTGATAGTAGAATATGTGCTCCTTCAGACTGCCACTCCAAGTGAAGGCTTCGGTACAACCCGCTTCCTGGCACACATAGGGACGCTCCCCCGAATGCACCCTCTTGTGCGCTGTCATTTGGCCGCTCTCCGCAAAGGCTCTCCCACAGTCCGGTTCGTCGCAAACGTAGGGACGCTTGCCCGAGTGCACCCTTTTGTGATTGGTCAAGTGACCGTTCTGTGTGAAGGCCTTCCTGCATCCGGCTTCATGGCACACAAAGGGACGCTCGTCAGAATGCGTTCTCTTGTGTTTGGAAAGTGTGCTGCTCTCCGCAACGGCCTTCCCACATCCAGGCTCCGAACAAACGAAGGGAAGCTTGCTTGAATGCGTCCTTTGGTGCTTAGTAAGTGTGCTGCTGTCCGCAAAGGCCTTTCCGCATCCGGCCTCCGGACAAACGAATGGACGCTCCCCCGAATGCACCCTTTTATGGGCTCTCAGTCCTCTGCTTCGCGCAAAGGATTTATCGCAGCCGGCTTGGCGGCAAAGGTAGGGACGTTCACCCGAATGGACTCTTTTGTGATCAGCCAGATCTCTGCGACGGGCAAACGCCTTCTGGCATTTTGGGTGATCGCACCTGAATTGGAGCTGTTTAGATCCAGAGAAACTCTTCTTGATAGTCATGATTCGATGTTGTTTGTGGGTTATTCAACTCCCTAAGCTTTTAACGATCTCCGCTTGCCGCGGGCTCTCTCAGGCCCAGGGGAATCAATTGCAGACGCAGGTGCAATTCCGGAGCTGATAGTTACTTGTAGCATACTTGCAACGGGTCCTCGACCCAGGGAGCGGGAGCTGGCGACGTCATTGAAGGAGCAGGGGCAAGCAAAGTGGGTGTTGGGGAAGGGACGTCGATGGGCAGGACATCCGGAGGGGGGGTCGCAGCAGGCTGTGGAGCTGGAACGGGCACCGTCACCGGCTGAGGCGCCGGCGCAGTGTCATTGCAGGGCTCCGTGGGCTCAAGTGTGGGGGGTGGTGTTTCCAAAGGGGGAGGGGGATTCGTTGGTGTTTCCACAGGGGGAGGCGGATTTGTGGGTGTTTCCACAGGTGAAGGGGAATTTGCGGGTGTTTCCACAGGGGGATGCGGATTTGCGGGTGTTTCCACTGGGGGAGGCGGATTTGCGGGTGTATCCGCGGGGGGAGGGGGATTTGCGGGCTTGGGGTGGCAACTAGGGGTGCTTGTGTACGAGGTCTGCGTCCAAGAGATTTGGCTCGTACCCATCCGATTATTGGATATTGAACGGATTTAGGCTTGCTTTTCACCATATTCGTAGTGTTTTTCATTTATTTAAATATGTTTATTGGGCTTTTTACCCCCTTATCTTGGTCGCACACCACCTTCATAAGTATTCAATGATTATTGGGTCCAATATTTGCTCTAGCATCCACCCCATACATTTATTTTCACATATAAGAGGTGATATCTGCTCCTCTCGACGCAAGGAATTCAACGGTGCCATTTACATTGCAAGAAAAAACCATGATCATATAGATAATCTTAAATACTAGTTTCATCCAAGCACCAAATCGAGATCCGAGTTGCCACCCCGGGTTTGCGGGTGTCTCCACTGGAGGAGGGTGGTTGCTCGGTTTAACCGACCGGCAAAACTCCACCGGCCTGGTGCGGCCTTCGAGCCGCAGCCTCAACAGCCTCAGGATGTTACGGGCGGCGTTCACGTCGCGGTTCACAGTCATACCATGACAGCCACTGTTTATGCAGTGGAGTACACTATGGACCTTGAACGTCTTGACCGCCCCATCCTTGCACCGCTTCTCCGAATACTGATTGCGCAGCTGCGTCTTGCAATCAAAGTGCAGCTTGCTCGTCCTGAATTCGTCCATCGTGACCACCCTGCAATGCTTGCGGAGCTCCCGTTCCAGTCGCTTCACGGGCCCAGAAGGAGACCCCTTGATGATGCCTCCGGAGTCCTTGTTAGACCAGTCCCCGAAGCCCACCACCGTCTTGCAACCCACTCGCCTCGTTATGGCATTGCAGAGCGCATGCAGCTTCTTCTGCACCGAAATGTACCGCTTGAACTTGAGCCCTCTGAATCCCTGCCTCATGTGGTAGACGAGGAGCATGTCCAACCGAGGCAGCACGAAGTGCACGTAAGCGAGGAACTTGGTGCTCTCCGAGGTCTTCTTGGTAGGCATGTTGCGGATGGCCTCGAGCACCTCCAGGCTCTTATCGTACCACCGCTTGATCTTGGCGTTGCTGTGCTTGTACTTGGCGTCGCCATAGAATTCTCGAGTTGAGCACTTCAGCTTCTCTCCTTCTTCGTTGACCATGACGAAGAGGTCTCGCCTGCCGGGGTCTAGGCCCCACAACTCCTCTTCGCCTGTGAGGTCGGGGAGTGTTGCTTCGCCTGAAGCTTGCTTGGGTTTTGGCTTCCTCAGTACGATGCAGACGGCCTTTCCGTCCGTGAGGATCTCGCCTGCGAACTTGCGGTTGCACGTCTCAAACTTTGCGATGTCGAAGAGGTCCCGCCAGTAATCGTCAGCCACCTTCCTGAACTCGGCTCCCGAGGCCGGAAGCTCGACCCCTCCCTTCTTGAGAAGCCCATAAAGACCATTCGTGCACATCTTGAGGTGATTGCACTCGAAGCCCCTCTTCGTGGGTAGGAGGCTGAAGAGCCTCAGCTGCTTGCCTTTCTTCAGTTCTTCTTCTGTCAGGGGGTGATGCGACTCC